GTCCTTATCTATCCCACTCAAGTATCTTGGACTGCAGAAATATTTCTGTGTTTGATTATAGGGTACTTTTCCAAACCCCATGGAAGTGTTGTATAACATAAGGCATATGGAGTCTATTATAAGGGTGATCCATATGAAATTATTACTATTATGGGTACTAAAAATGGTCAGACAAAAGTGATTTCTTATAGTTCAACTTCATGCTTTGTTAAAACCTGGCCCCAAGGATTTTGGATTCAGAAATTGAGGACCTGTAATCAAGAGCAACTCCTCTTGGGAGCAGTAATGTGAATTTCCTCTAAAATGTCCCCAGTCTGTGATTGCTCCAGTCCTGTGTTTCCTCTTGGGACAAGGAGCTCCCAATTTTGGAAGGAGTGTGCTTTATCATTGAATAGCAGTGACATGGCCTTTAAATCGACCTGAAACCCCTATGTGATAGATGCTGTGCCAAACAAGATTCTCAAGTTAGTATCATACCTCAGCCTCTCCCTGGGACCCTTTGCCTCATCCTGTCATCTCCACTTGGCTGTCTAAGTCACCTTAAATGGGGACATGTCTATCTGAGCTCTCAGGCTTCCACCCGTTTCCACTAATGGCATCTGCACCCTTCCACGGCTCCAGTCAGGAACCGTGGACCCAGACTCTTCCCTTCTCTTCCTCACTGCACATCCAACTGGATAAGAAATTGTGTCTGCTCTACTTCAAGATATATCCTGCTACACCATTTCTTGTGACCCTCACTGTCACCACCCTATCCAGTCCCCCATCATGCCTCGCCTGGGTCACTGCAGACATTTCCAAACTGGTCTCCCTGATGCCACCCTTGTTCCCTCGGGCTGCTCTCAAGGCAGCAGCCTGGATGGCCCTTTGGAAGTGAGATCTGAACCTGCCACCCTTCTGCCCTCACCTTCCAGAGGCTCATCACCTCACTGAAGGAGAAGCTGAGTCCTACCCAGGCCCAGAGGCCCTGCATGGTCAGCCTCCTCCCATACCACTCTGACCTCATCACCTCAGCCTCCTCACTCCCCACTCTAGCCATCCTGGCCACCTTGATGCCTTCTGAACACACCCGCTTCAGGGCCAAGAGCATTGTCTACCAGACATCCATAGGGCTTCCCCTCATTTCAGGTCTTGGCTCAAAAAGGTGGCCTTGAAATCCTGCTGTTTGCAGCTGAACATGGATGGATCTAGAGGGCATTATGCTCAATGAAATAAGCCAGGCAGAGAAAGACAAACACCACATGATTTCTTGTGGAATATAAAAATAAAGCAAAACAGAAAGAGCAAAATAGCAGCAGACTCATAAACACTGAGAAGTGATTAGTGGTTACCAAGGGGGGAGTTGGCGTGAGTAGGGGAAGGGGAGGGGGATAAAGGGGCACCATAATTCACAGTCACAATATAAATTGGTCACAGGGATACTAGTACAGCATGGAGAGTATAGTCAATGATTCTGTAACATCTTTCTATGTTGATAGATAGTAACCACACTAGAGGGTGTGAGGATATGATAATATGGGTGAATGTTGAACCACTGTGTTGTACATTTGAAACCAATATAAGATTATATATCAACAATACTTCAATTAAAAAAAAAAGGTGGACCCTATTTTAAACTGCAACCAACCTCCAATTGCAAAACCCTATCTTCCTTTCCTGTTTTTTTTTTCTCTAAAGCATTGAGACCATCTAATATGTTATAAATTTAACTTATTAATTTTCTTTACTGGCCATCTCCCCCCAACTAGAATCTAAGCTGCACGAAAGTAGGGATTTTTGTCTGTGCAAAAGTCATCACTTATCTCCACTGAGAATCAAGAAGGCAATGAGAAGTAACTTGTAAAAGCCAAAAGGGATGTCTGTGTCATCAAAAAGAGGCTATTCAGATTGTAAATAAGTCCATGGAAAGATGTCCAACAGTCTTAGCCATCAGAGAAATGCAAATCAAAACCACAAAAAATTGAAAACACCTACCAAAGCTGCTAAAATTTTAAAAATTAGTGATAACACCAAGCCCTGGAGAGAGAATGTGGAGAGGATGGCAGCTCTTTCACATTGCTGGTGAGAAGTAAAATGATACAACCTCTCTGGGAATGAGTGTGGTGGTTACCTACAAAACAGAACATGTGTCTGTCACATGACTCAGCACTTCCACTCTAGGGCATCAACACCAGAGAAAATGAAGACATGTTCATACAAATAACCCAATTGTCCTTCAATGGGTGACAAAAACTGTCAAACAAACTGTGGTATATCCATACCATAGAATACGACTGAGCAAATCAAAAGAAATGAACTATAAATCATGCAATGATTTCGATGGGCCTCAAGGAAATGATGCCGAGCGAAAAAAGTCAACCTCCAAAGGAAAACAGCATGATTGCATTTATATAATGGTTGGAAAATAATGTGATTATCAAGTTGGAGAGTAGATTGGTGGTTGCCAAGGGTTACAGGAGGAGGCAGGAGGAGGGCAACAGCATGACTATGAAATGTAGTTCCTTGTGATGGAGCTTTTTTGTATCTTGACTGTGGTGATGGTCACACAAATCAACACATGTGATAAGTTGCATAGAACTAAATACACATGCACCAACAAGTACACATAAAATGGGTGGAATCTGAAGATCAATGTCATTTTCAATTTCCTGATTATGGTATTATACTACAGCTATGTGATATATTGCCTTTATGGACCACTGAGTAGAGGGCATATAGGATCGCTCTGTAAACTACTTGTAAATCTGTGTCTATACTTATCTCAAACAGATGTCTACAGGATCATGCCTGAAAATTCTTATTCTTTTCCCATAGGACATTCTCCAGGCACAAACTCAGAATCCATCAACCCTTTACTTTAAACAGAAGTGTAACAAGCTTAGTATCATGTTTTGCAGATGGCTAGACACATAAGAACAGGGAGAGTCTGCTAGAGCTCTCAAGTCACATGATAGAGGGACTAAAACCCAGATCCCCAGGACCCCAGCCTGGTATTTTGAGTATGCACCATTTCCTGAGGCTTTCTTATATTATGGGTGAAAATACATACCTCTTCATTTGCACCCATTCACTTACCACTTTAAAGACTCTGGTTTAACCAAGCATCCCAGCTTTGTAAAAAATAAATACCAGGACAAGAACACTTTTGCAAACTCCTTCAAGGAAATCCAATATTGAGTGCGATTATGTGTTTAAAAGTTACAATGGCAAAGACTTAGGTTAGTCTCAAAGAAGTTTCCTACTACATCTGTTAAACCAAGGGACATAAAAATCATCCATTGCTGGGATTCTTTGGAACTATGTTAGGTGCTTATTTCAATGGCTGTTGGTTATTAAGATAGTGACCATGTTAGAAGCCACAACCCTAGAGAAGGGATGTCACCTGGTAACTGTCCTAGACCTGACAGTTTAAAGGGGATGATGCAAAAGTAGTCAATCACAGTCTGGTGTGAAGTACTCAATGATTGGGGAAGAATGGGAAGCTACGAGAACACAGAAGATGAGCATCTCACCCAATCTTGGAGGCAGGCAGATGTAGGGAAGTTTTGCACACAAAGTTTAAAAATAAGGGGAACACGGTGATATGAAGGGAAAGGAAGCTGCCACAGTGGAGGGGAGAGCATGTGCATCTAATCCATAAAGCATCTGGGAGAAGTACAATTCAGGAAAGTAGTAAGAGGAGAGGCTGGACCTTGGAGAGGGGTGATGAAGGACAGGGACCAGATTATGCAAGGCCTTTCCAAGTAGCCTAAAGGGCTAAGGCTGTGATATAAGCAGAGGTAGCCTCTGAATGGAAGTGCTAGTCAGACTGGCTCCTACCACATGCCCAGGATGTCCTTAGCTTTCCTATTCCTGTTACTCATCTTTCTGCAGGATCCTCTACTCTCCTCCAATACCACCCTCCTGAGCTTCAAGGCCTAGTTCCAATACCACCTCCTTGCCCAGGAAGCCTTCCCACCCCTCACTGGACCTCCTCCTGGGTGGAATGGGCACATGTGTGCACCTTACAGCAGCATGTGCTGTGTGGTGTAATGGCCGTGACCAGAATCCCCGTCACAGCTTTACTGCTCACTCTGTACATTACAACTTCCTGTCAGGTGGGAATAATAATATTATGACATCAAAAGGTTATCTCAGGACTAAATAAATTTCATTGACACATTTAACTCAGAACAGTGGCTGGCACAAAGGCAGCGTTTAATAAACGTCAGCTTTATTACTTGCTATGGACTCCTCAGACACACCAGCTGTGGGCAATGCTTATCACTGGGGCTCAATCAACTTTGGACTAATCCGAGAGAAGAAGTCAATGTCCTCTCCTCACAGACAGTGAGTCTATGACCCTAGATGTTTTGCTTAGGTAGTTGGTCAACACAGGCTATAAATATACTTTCCTTTCACAGAGGATTGTGTACTAGAGACAAGAACCCCAAACCATGCCTTGGAAGAACTGGATCATCTTCCTAGCTCCACTTTTAATCCCTGGATGACACTGGGCAAGTGCCGTGACCTCCCAGAACTTCCATATCCCATCTGTGCAATGGCAACAAGCGCCCATGGAGCTCAGAAAGACAGGCAGCGAGGCGGCCCTTTGCAAGGTGGTGATGCAAACGTGAATTCCATTTCCCAGTCTGCAAGCCGCAGCACACACCTCTCCATCCCTTACTTTCACTGCCAGAAGCAGCGCACTCCCCAGACTGGCATGGCTGGCAGGCTGCCAGCTCAGGGAACAGCTTTATTTTAAGTGGCCCCACCCACTGACTTGATGAATTCTTTTTCTCCTCCTCCAGGGACTTTCCTAACTTCCTTCTGTAAACGAAGGCAGGAGCACATGAGCACACACTGTATATAAATATACTTGGGAAAGCTTTCTTCTTCTCCTTCTTCCTTTTTTTTTTTTTTTTCTTAAACTCAATTTGGTTTCTGTTGTAGGCGGCGCATTCCCTAGCAGGGCGGGGCTCAGCAGAAGCGGGGAGGGGGAGGGGGGAGCCAGGGGGAGGAGTAGCAGTGATTAATTCACCCACAGTGAGAGCTGGGCTTCTATTTAATGGAGGGTCTCTCTGCCCAGGCCGAGTCAGAGGCGCCTCCCGGGCCAGCAGGAGCATGGCAGAGAATCTGGGGATGGGCTTTGGGGAGACAGCCCTAGCGGAAATGCTCCCCGAGGACGGTGGCTGCAGGCCCAAGGCCAGAGCCGGGCTAGCAGCCAGGAACAGCAGCGCGCGCTGGGCTCTCACCTGCTGCCTGGTGGCGCTGCCCATCCTGGCGGGACTCACCACCTACCTGCTCGTTGGCCAGCTCCGGGCCCAAGGAGAGGCCTGTGTGTTCCAGGTAAGCAAGACTCCCCGCTGACGTGGGGGATCTGCGGACCCTCTGCAGGTGCCTGGCAACGGCTGCAGCTCTGGGCAGAGCTCCTTGATCCATCGTGGTCCTTGCTTCATGCTTCGACAGGCTAAGAAAATGTAGAATGTGAGGGATGGAGAGATCCAATTCGGTTTTTATTCCCAGTATTTCCAGGAAACGAAATGGTCCCTTTTTATGTTTGTATGGGATCAATCTCAAGTCACATATTTTTAGATCATTATAATGTACTGACAACTTGGGAATATTCTTTTTCTTAGAAAAAAAAAACTCTTTAAATTGCATAACTAACACAGGGTCATTGAAAAGTTAGAAAACACAGATGAGGAAAAGAAGATAATTATCACTACCCATAACTGCATAGAAGTGACCACTATTAACATTTTGAGGTGTATAATTCCCTATTTCTTAATATGGGAGTATTTCAAGTCACCTAATAGGTTATGATTTTATTGTTGATATATTACAGCAGCATTATGATACAGATCGGTATATTGTATTACTGTACCTGTATATGCTATAGTTTATTTAATCAACCCCCTTTCTTGGGTTTAGAAATATTCTTTTTCAACACTCAAGAAGGAATATCCTGCTTGATTATCTCTCAGGTCGTTCTGGGGCCTAGGGGGAGTAGGGGCTTAGTTAAAAAAGAATATACGGTCTCAGGAGGATAAGGGTGCGGTGGTAGGGATGGTTCACAGGTGCCACGTGAAAAACTTATAATTCGGGTCTAGGAATATCAAAAACCTTACAACCTGAAAATGTGTTATTTAAATAACACTCATTTTTTTTAATGTTCCTGCATAATCTGTGATGACTGATTAATCTCAGTTCAAAGTATTAAATTCCAAAAGAGAAAACAGGCTTTTAATTGTTTCAGTGGGAAACCTGGGTTCAAAGCAATGCTGGCTGACTTCAAAGCAGAGAGACACAGCAGAGAACAAGTCATGGCTAATGTGTAACTCTCACCATGCCAATCAGGTCAGCAAAAAGACCATGATTCAGGCGGCTGCATCCATGGCCACATGCCATCAACTCAGAAAATGCAGATGATCTGGAAATGCTATTCATGTCAGAGGAGAACTGCAGAGCAGGAGGTCAGGCCGTGACCCCTAGACCCCCAGGGGACTGGATGCTATGAAGCCATATTGTAGTGTCCAGTCAGCATGCTGGGACTCTGTCCTTAAGCCAGAAACTGGTTGCTCTTGAATGAGGCATTGAGTGGCCTCCAGTAGCCTGAGCTCTCCTGGGTTCTAAGGGAAACACTCCCTCTGCTCAAAATGATGTCTGAGATCACCTGTGTTGGCAGAAGCCAGGGAATGCCTTCATCGAACTAGAAGACTGTCAGGTGGAATGCCACTGTCCAGAGGCAGTCAGAGCAACTTGCCTGGTCAGGAAGAGAGTCTGGGACATGGGCTGCCACTAGACAGCAAGCCCCTGGAGGGATGGCGCTGAGTGCTGCCCTATTGTAGAAGGTATTCAAGAAATGAAAAGGCAAATACTGTACTCTGGTCCAGATAGATCAGTCTCCCTGGACGTACACAGGGTGGGACATTGGGAGCTGTGGTTTGGCTGGGCCATATAACTTGATGTGTCAGAAGAAAGAGAAAGGGAAATGAGGGTGAGGCCAGGGCACATGTAGCAATCGGGGTCCTGAAAAGAAACATCTGGCCCATTCAAGGAAGGGAGTTTAGAGTGTTCAAAGAATTTGAAAGGGGTCCAAAGAAGGGTCTATTTGCTGAGATGCAGACAGACTAAAGCATCCTGGGAGGAACAACAGTGGGCAGCCAACCACTACTACTTGGCTTGCAGGGGCAGATGCAGGGAGGGGTTTTAAAGGAGCCCAGCAAGAACTAAAATGCAGGAGAGGGCCTGCCGGGAGGGGCTGAGTACAGGAAAGTTGTCTGCCAAAACAGCACGGAGGAAACAGGAGGCAGGAGGGGAAACCCTGGCTACTCTCTGCTCCCAGTCTCTCACCCCACTGGCCAGCCTCAACTGGGAGGCCAGCCTTAACTGGCAGGCCTCTCACAGGAGTCAGGGAGCAAGCATGGCTAGCTTGTTCTCCTGGCGATAGGATGAGCACTAGAATTATGTCTGCATCCAACAGTCTGTAGGTCTGTAACCCTCCTTCATCTCTGCCTCTGCCCAGAGCACTGGGCAGAGCTCTTTATATAGTGACTCAGTCAATAATAGCTTATTGCCTACAGGTGTGGAAGCAGTTGCCTAGTTACATCATCGAGTAGTTTAGGTTCAGGTGAGGATCGTGGCCCCAGGAACTTCCATTTTCCCTAACCCTCTCATAGGTAAAAGCCCATCCGGAAGCACAGGCCACTGGGGGTAACAAGGCCTTTGGGGTCATCCAGGCTAGAGCTGGCAACCAGGCTGTCGGCCTGCCTGCTAGGGGCCCCCCTCCGCAGTGCCAGGCTGACACTCTAAGGGCCCAGGAAGGATGCTATCAGCACTATCAGACGAAAGCAGCTGCAGCTATTACCCATTCCTGGGCCTCGTGCCGGCCTCCCAGTGAGAAACCTTACAGGCAAATCTCATTTCATCCTCCAGACAGCTCACCCGGGACTCCTGGGCTGGGGGAAGTTAGAGCTGCCCGTGGTCCTCCAAGGAGGACTGTAAGGATGATCAGAGAGGTAGCATGGCATGCTCACATTGGGGAAATATAATTGGAAAACAAATTCTTCCAACCCCAAATCCTCTCCACCAAGGTAGTAGAGAAAGAAAATACTTTTTACTGTTGGATAAGCATTAAGCCAAATGCACATCACAGGCAATCAACCACTTACACAGAAGAATGGACTCTTAGACCCTTTTATATAACCACACAATGCAACACTTTACACACATATTCCCATGATAAACAATAACTAGTCCTCAAGTAAGGGGACTTAACGCCACCATTTGTCACACAGTTCATCCTAATGTCACCTTGTAAAGGATGGCCATCTGTGTTACCTAATTGGCTTTCTCTGGAGAAAAAAAGAATTCTCAAAATTTATGATAGAGGGTATTATTGCAACTTGGGGCAAGGTCCCCACCTAAGTTGTCCCAGCATTTGTTCCCTTTACGTCTTCATCTCCTGCCACCAGCCACACAGTCCTCTTCTTCTGCCCACAGACATCAGATAGACCCATGAAATCTGAGACTGTTCATGGAATTAGTTTTCCATTCCCACAGTGGCCCAGGCTCAAGGCAATTCAACTTGAACACAGCTCTTCAAATGTGTTCACAGCCCCAAGGAGCAAGCTCAGCAGCAGAGGACACACTAATGACAACAGCAACACTGATAACATGACACTAGTAACATCTTGCACAGGTATGGGGTTCTCATAAACATGATCCCCTGGATATTCACACCAACCCAGAGATGCAATGAGGGCATGAGCATCACATTTGGCCATAAAGGAAGCTGAAGCCAGAGAGTCTGTGGAGCACCTGAGGTCACAAGACAGGGAGGGGATGGAACTAGGTCTCAGAGCTGGCAACCCAGGTGTTGGTTTCTGTGTTGGCTCCTGTCTTGCCAATGGGCTGCAGCCCCAGGCAAGTTCACTATGGATTCAATGAGACCAAAGAAATGACAGTAGAATGTTGGTAGGGTGAAAGGGTTATACCCAACTTCATTACCACGGTGACAGGTCAATCACTAAAATCCTGTTCACTCAGTGCGAGTCTGCAGGCAGCAAGCTGGTCTTTGGGTCTGGGCCTCTCTGCCCACACAGCCGTCCTCTGGGGCTCTCTGCCTGCATAGCCATCTCAGTCTCTGTCCTCTGCTCTGCTCTCCTGCAGCCGTGCCACTGTGTAGCCCATAGCACTGGGCAGGGCTCCTTATATAGAGTCAATACGATGCATTGCCCACACCTGTGTAGCAAACTTGCCAACCAGGGCCAGGTGAGAATCCTGGCCACAGAAACCTTCACTTTATCCACAGTTCCCCACCCACAATCAAGCTCTGTGATCATGTTTCCATCTGCCCCTTTTTATGGATAAAAGAATAGATCGCCCTCATGTGTTGGGGAGGCACAGGGACCTCTCTGTGGCCACATCCAGTGTCATTCCCTTTCTTGCCCCTGCCCCATCACTGGTCTCTCAGCCACCTGGCCTCCGTCAGCCTCCCCAGCGCTCTGCTGCTCCCAGTCTGGTCCTTACCTGGTTGTTCCTTCTGCCAAGACTGCCCTAAGGCACTTTTTCATTTTGTCCTATAACAAACGCAGGAGTTGGCATCACTGTGAATCTTTCAAATCTAACACAGAGAGGAGTTGAGGCTTGAGTAAAGGAAGCTCAAAGGAGCTCAAAGGGAGGAGAGTGACAAAAGCAGAGAACCTCTCTGAATTTCGGGTTTTCCTATAATACCTATGTGACTGGAGGATTCCAAGTAATCCCCACAAAGCCTGTAGCGAGGGCCTGGCAATATGGGCATTAGTTGGATGTTTGTCCCTTTCCTTTCTCTAAGTAGAAGAGGAAAGCTCTTCCCAGACTTAAAGAAATTAAGACCTAGAAATGCCCTTAGTCCAGGAGTCAGCAATTATGACCCATGGGCCAAATCTTACCCACTGCCTGTTTTTCTGAAGTTTTATTAGAACACAGTTGTGCCCATTTGCTTACAGTCACGCCTGTTTTCATGCTATAATAGCAGAGCTGAGTGGCTGCAACAGAGCCATATGGCCTGCACAGTTCATACTTACTCTCTGACTCTCTGGCCCTCTCCAAGAAAAGTTTGCCAACCCTTAATCTAATCCAATCTCCTCATTTTACAGTTGAAGAAACCTTAGCATCAGAGGTAGGAAGGAAAAGTTCAGGGCCACAGGGAGTGCCTGGGGGAGGAGATGGAACTAGACTCTATTTCCATGGTTGCTTGGCATCATTCTACTGGCAAACAGCACTGAGTCCATTCTTGCTGGGTGCCCAGATCAGATATTGGAAAGGCAACAGCAACTGGTATAGGAATGTTCCAGATTTTTATC